AGGAAAACCAGGGATAGTTAATAGAAGGAAAACCAGGGATAGTTAATAGAAGGAAAACCAGGGATAGTTAACAGATGGAAAACCAGGGATAGTTAATAGAAGGAAAACCAGGGATAGTTAATAGAAGGAAAACCAGGGATAGTTAATAGAAGGAAAATAAAAAGGAAGAAGATAGAAACGATGACAAGAATATGAATCAAATCAGAATTTTTCTGTATCAACTGTATCAAATTTATAAAATTAAAAATCAAATATAATAAATTGTTTTAAAAAATAGCCAACTCGGGATATTCTGGTTCAAACTAAATAGTATATTTGTGTTATCTCATGCATTGTAATTTAAGAAAAATATGAAATTTTTTAATAATTTTAAAAAATGGTACAACAAATCAACTGGAGGCATAGTTAAATATAAATTTTTATTCGCTTTTCACTCATTCATAATTTATAATTTAAAAATGGTTGGTCTGTATAATCTGTGTGAGTTATTTAGCTGTAAAGTTGTAAACATGCGTTAGAATCTTTTCAATCCGAAATAATTTATATTATAAAGAAAGTTTCCTGTAGGTTGTTTAATACCAAAGACAATAATAAAAATAATATATAGGAGTCATATTAAAGTAAAATTAACTTCAAAGTAAATTATGTTTGAGCAAAAGATATTTTAAACGAAATAAACTGCAAACAGCCTTTAATATCTAATACTGCAGTGTATGGAAGACGACAATCAAAAATATTTACCAACTGTCATGTTTCGTGGGACACCCTGTAGCTTAATAATCAACTTATCAAGTCAAATAGAAAAGTCGTCTTTCTGTTTCACATTTTTATAGATTTTGTACTACGTATGTACACAAGTGAAAAAATTAAAAAAAAAAACCTCGAAAGTACAGAGGAGTTTGATTTTAGTATTTTTTTAAAAGTTTTAAATCCAATATAATAAGGATTAGAAGGTATCAGCCAAATAGAATAAAAGAATTTTTTTTAGACCGACAGATGGTTTCAAACTTTAAAAAATCCAACCTGTGACCAAATGAATCGATTACTCACCGGAAACCTGAATGTTCTGCTCCTTATATCTTTGAAGCCTGATGTCCTAGATAATTCAAACCATGAGTTCTGCTATATCAAATTGACAAAGTTTGAAATGCACAAAATACAGTCAAGCATGTCAGCCAACCAAATTTCTTGAGTTTTTAAAGTTAGATTAAATATAATATATCGGTGAAGTGTAACCAATTGTTTATAATTTTAAGTTTTGTGGCTTCTTGATTCCATTTTATAATAATCAATTTGGTTTTGCTTGGTTTGGTTTCAACAAACCATAAAAAGTGTCAAAAAATGTTATGGGTCACTTAATCTTTGGGTTTTAGACGTCTTGTGTTTTATAAAATTATTGTGTACTCGATCCTTGATTTTAGAATCGTATATTTGATTAAATATGCTTTAATAATTTTGTTTTTTGAAGTGATAAAAAGCAATATGCTATTAAGCTAATTTCAATCTTTTTTTGAAATCTCTATTAAAGGTTCNTATAGTTCCTTTATTCTTAACATATATATATAGTTCCTTTATTCTTAGCATATTCTAAAACTATAAATATACGCTGTTCAGTTAAAAACTGAGAAGCCATTAGAAAACAAAAAAATACCAAACAGGAGAGTTGCACACAAAAAGTGCAATTTTGCACCAGACGCCGCTAATCACACTTTTTTTTGACTCATCCTTAATGTAAATTGTACATGGACACATATATATTGATGAATACACATGAAATTATCAAATGGATACATATTCATAGTACAAGTACAATGTTCACGTGAACTTACATAGATGGTACATGTGCAATGTGCACGAAACCATACATGTACAAAACACGCAGAAAATAAATGGATACATGTTCTTAATTTACGCATAAGATACATATAATTGATACGCACGTTCAATGTACACATACACATATATAAATGCATACTTGGTCAGGTACAAAGTATTCACAGAAACATACATATAAGCATACTTGTGCAATGTTACTTGGTCAGGTACAAAGTATTCACAGAAACATACATATAAGCATACTTGTGCAATGTACACAGGAACATACAGAAATCGATACATGTACAATTACAATGTAAAAAAGGGATACATGTGCAATGTAANCTCTAGCCACAGCGCTCATCATGTGTTACGTATACATGTATTATATATTCCTAATAGCTCTAGCCACAGCGCTCATCATGTGTTACGTATACATGTATTATATATTCCTAATAGCTCTAGCCACAGCGCTCATCATGTGTTACGTATACATGTATTATATATTCCTAATAGCTCTAGCCACAGCGCTCATCATGTGTTACGTATACATGTATTATATATTCCTAATAGCTCTAGCCACAGCGCTCATCATGTGTTACGTATACATGTATTATATATTCCTAATAGCTCTAGCCACAGCGCTCATCATGTGTTACGTATACATGTATTATATATTCCTAATAGCTCTAGCCACAGCGCTCATCATGTGTTACGTATACATGTATTATATATTCCTAATAGCTCTAGCCACAGCGCTCATCATGTGTTACGTATACATGTATTATATATTCCTAATAGCTCTAGCCACAGCGCTCATCATGTGTTACGTATACATGTATTATATATTCCTAATAGCTCTAGCCACAGCGCTCATCATGTGTTACGTATACATGTATTATATATTCCTAATAGCTCTAGCCACAGCGCTCATCATGTGTTACGTATACATGTATTATATATTCCTAATAGCTCTAGCCACAGCGCTCATCATGTGTTACGTATACATGTATTATATATTCCTAATAGCTCTAGCCACAGCGCTCATCATGTGTTACGTATACATGTATTATATATTCTGTAAATTGTCCTTATTGGCAAAAAAAGGTTTTCACTCTCGTAGATAGAAAGATAGAAAAAGTTGGGTTTGGAAATTAATTTCGATATTTTTTCATATCCTCATCAGTCCTACAGAAAATGACCAAAATTGTTGCATACAGTGAATCCCAGATATATGAATACATAGCAAGAGAATTCTAAAGAAACTTCTTTTTATTTTTAATTCAAGGTAAATAAATTAATAGCCCTGAAATATGAATGCAATTGATATATCAATATTGGTACTCATTTTTCAGCGGCATTTGATCTTAAATATGTAATACGACTTTTTAAAAAACTCTTGCTATGTATTCATATATCTGAGATTCTCTGTAGTTAAATGAAAAAATAAAATGAAATAAAAAAGGCCAATATAAAGAAAAAGTAAACAAAACCTGGGGAAAAAATATGGAAAAATCAAATAATTTTTTTAAAAAGTTGTAAGAATCTTGGTCAACCTTAAAGATTAAAGAATGATGGTATTAATAAAACTAAATGAAATGTATATTGAAT